AAAATCTCCTCCTCTACCCTCTTAAATTCTGTGCTAAAGGCCTGCAAATTAAACTGATGAGAGAAAGAGTAACAGGAAGGGAAAAAAAACTTAATTTGTGTGCATAGAGGAGCTTACAAAAATGGTAACTTAATAAATGCTTAAAACAAAAGACCTATGTACCTAAATTACAGGGAGAAGGGAAGGGAAAGGAAAAGTTTATATAAGAACAAATGAGAGATTATAAAGTTTATGATGTGCTTGTTATGCAGGCACAACGGGTCCTGATCCCTCCTTCATGACCATAAAGCACTCCTGGTTAGGACATGGATGGTAGGTTTATTCTTGTTCTGCCTGGGAGAAGAACTCACCCTGAAGAGGGAATGGTGGCTTCACTTTCTAGAACTTTCTGCCTTTTGTGAGATAAGGCGAGCTCAAATTACGTCTCTTTCTCCATCTTTTGAGTCTTAAATATCTTTGGTTTTAAGTGACTTTCAAACCTACTCTGGGCCTGCACAGCAGCATCACACCGGGTGCTGAGCTAAGCATTTTGCTTTTTCCAGATCATCTTTGATATCAGAGTAGAATCGGGGTCCTTGCTTTTAGGTATTCAGAAACAAAACCACCGCCCATCCCCCAAGGCCCCATTTCTTCCAATCCATCCTGTGAGGTCTGTGCAGGGTTAGGACAGGAGGAGAACAAGGGTGAGAGGGGCCAGAGCTGGCTGGACCAGGGGATGGGGAGAAGTAGACAGGGGCTCTCCAACAGGTTCCGCTCAGCTGGGAGCTGGTTAGAGAGGAAGAACCTCAGCCCCCTGCCCCCAGAGGCACTGGCCTAGCTCCATCCTAGGGGACTCTCAGGTGACTCGCCCCTCGCCCCTCGCACAGGGAAGTCTGAAAGTGCTAATCTAGGGCCGACCTCCGTCTCTGCCGCACTTTAGAATTAATCACCCGGGAGCTCTTGAAAGGTCTCCACTGCAGTCTGCATCTCTGAGCCATCAAATCAGACCCTCTGGGCAGGGGCGCTGTTATCTGCAGATATAAAACCTTCCCCTGACTCCTGCCTGTAGCCAAGGTTGAGAATCACTCACTGGCAAGCCCTCGAAGGAAGGCTACCAAATTAAAAAAATTAAACACCCCAAAACAATGGGGCCGTTAGGTGGCGCACCCACAAATAAAGGGGCCAATGCAATGAGCTGGGGTCTCCTCCGAGCATTTCATGAGGAAGCTCTCCGGAGAGAAGAGCTGTTTATGGAAATTCCAGGAGACCTCCCGTGCCTGTTTGAACCTGGAAAAGCCCAGATGTGAAACAAACAAACAAACAACAACAACAACAACCAAAAAAAATTATATATATATGAAGAGAGAGAGAGAAACGCTCAGGAGAGGGCCAGACCCACAGCTCCGAGGAAAGCCAGGCTCGGGGGGGACGAGGCCGGTCCTGGGAGCAGCCTGTTTGAGGAAGTTGTGAAGTTGCCATTCAGTGTTTGGAACTGGCTGCAAACCTCATTTGAAGACTCTCACCAAAGATGCTGCTTTAAAATGAAGTGTGGGCATTTCTGAAAATGAACCA